CAAGCTTATTAAGTATGCGGAGCTGTCCAACCGTGGTATTACTCTCTGCCATCTGCTTCACCTTTTTGTCCCAAGTTTTCATAGGGGCGCAATGATTCATATGCGCCACCGTGGGACCAAGGGGTTGGTACCGAAGATGGATGATAAAAGTAATCATCATTTTTGGGAAAATTTCTTCCACATGAAGTAGAGCATGTGGTATCAAACCCCAGCGGATTCCCCGAGGAGTGGAACTTTGCTCGTAACTATTTTTCTCCCAAATGACTTCGTTGTTTATATTGGGCAATCTGATCGTTCTCCTTCTATTTTAGTAGCCGAGCGGGATCCTCATTTGCTAGTCGTTGACATTCACGACTAGGTGAGTCAAGTTTTGCCTCATACTGTGGGGATTCGCGAGTGGTTGCACTTTAATGAGAGGTTTTGGCATAGACCTGCGGCCGGTGAGTTACCTTTGACTTATATTGTTGACTTTTATACCGACGTTTCTATCTTCTCTTATTTATATTTCTTTGTTTATAGGTCAAAGGGCTTCAAGGAGGGCAAGGGCTCCTACGCCTACTTTTTACCAGTTGGGTATTTCGTCCAAGCCCATACTCGATGTGACTGCAAGTAAACCTGCTCGGGCCTCTGCCATTCCTCGAACCCCGGCCTCGCACGGTCCTAGTTTCCAGATTGCTGCCACTCTAGCGGAGATTCAGGCTCCTACAGTATTACACTTGGTCGATGAGTCAGACCAGGGCAAAGACGAAGAAGCTCTACTAAAAAGTCGAAGGGTAGAGGCTGATATGAGAGTTGTCGGAGAGGAGCTGTCGGGGAGTGAATCTAAGTTGACCATGGCCAAATCGAAGGGTGGCATGGCCTTGAATATAGAGACCTCGCCTCCTTCAAACGTGGAGATCACCTCCGTGGAAGAAGGAGGGCAACCAGAAACGACTGTGATTACTCCTCGGAGTGGTGCGTCAACATCTGGGTAGGCTAACATTCCATTTTCGGCTAAGGAGAGAGCAAAAAGAATGATCATAGATGATTACGAATCTAGCTCCGATGTCGATCCCGAAGAGGCGAGGATATTCGATGAAGGGCTTATGCAGGTAGAGGTGAGAACGAATGGATCCTCTCGCTCAATCGTGATTCCTTTGGATTGAAATTTGTTGGAGGATACGGTAAGTATGGTCCCCTCCTTTGCTCCTCTTTGCTCTGTTGCCGAAAACAGGACCGTTCAAGCACTCCAGGATTCTGACCTGTCACTAGGCATATCCGGGATGGCTTTGAGGGTATGCTTTTTGTATTATTTCTGCAACTTGCATCTTTTTCTTTTCTTTACTAGTGTTATTCTTACTCTATTTTCTTTTTCAAACTTTCATTTTGGAGATCAAGAGTGCCCACCGAAAAGAGAGGCAGAAGGTCATTTTTCAGAAGATGGCTTCAAAGTATGTCTGTTATCATGACAAGTACCGTGAGATGCGTGCATGGTTGAGAGCAGGTGGTAACCCCCAGTCCCTTAGAGAAGAGTTGGATCAGAAGGACGAGGAGCTTGTGCGAACTATTGGCAGATGCAGTGAGCCTTAGGGGTTGCAAAGGGCTAAGGATGATGAGCGGATTGGTAGGCTTGAGAGAGAAGTTTTGAGCCTAAGTGAGCAAGTCACCGCCCTTGAGGATGAGAAGGCACAGTTTTTGGTTCGACCTTCTTCCTCTCGTGCTTCATCTTTCCCGACGTTCCTCGTGATTTATATGAGATATGGATCCATGTTGAGGCAAAACTAGACGTATATAGGAACTTGACGTCGCTGGGGAAGGTTCCTGAGGCCGACTTTGAAGATTCCCGTATTATGGCACACGATGCCAAGCTCGCCTGTGGTTATGACCCCGCCACGCCGAGGAATGGCAATGATGAAGAGGACTTGGATAGGCTTGCATTTAATCCTTGGTATGACGATAAGTATGCTGATGGCGCGGGTGAGGGTGGAGATGGTGATGCTGGGCCAGGAGGTGAAGGTGGCGATGGTGTAGGCGGAGATGATGCAGTTTGATGGTGCAGTGTGATTTTCTTGTACTTAGTTTTTGCTCTTTTCTCTTTTTTTGGACGAGGGGGGGGTTCTTTTTAGCCCTTTGTAAGATATTCTCTATTTTGGAATGGAATAATTGTTTTTTTATTGTATGTTTTGGGCTCTTTTCGTTTTTCTTCGTATGCTTTTTCCTTTGTAAGAGTTCCTGGCTTAGTAGATGCGACCGAGGTCGAATGCCAATTAATTTGAGCAAGGTCTAACGCTGGTTGATTCAAACAAGGTCGAATATTAATAAATTTTGAACGAAGTCAAATGTTAGTGAATTCAAACGGAGTTGAATGTGAGTCGATTCGAGCGAGGTTGAATATGAGTCGATGCGAGCGAGGTAGAATGTAAGTCGATTCGAGCAAGGTCGAATGTTTGACCCTTTAAGTGATTCGAACGATGTTGAAAGTAAATAAACTCGAGCGAGGTCGAATGTGACTCGATTCGAGTGAGGTCGAATGTGACTCGATTCGAGAGAGGTCGAATGTTTGACTCTTTAAAAGATTCAAATGAGGTCGAACATAAATAAATTCAAGCGAAGTCGAATGTGAATAAATTCGAGCGAGGTCAAATGTAAATAAGTTCTAGCGAGGTCGAATGTGAGTCGATTCGAGCGAGGTCAAATGTTTGACTCTTTAAATGATTTGAACGAGGTCGAACGTAAATAAATTCGAGCTAAACGAATGTGAATAAATTCGATCAAGGTTGAATGTAAATAAGTTCGAGAAAGTCGAATGTAAATAAATTCGAGCAAGGTCGAATGTAAATAAATTCGAGCGAGGTCGAATGTTCGACTCTTGGTGTAATATATGAACGTGGGGGAGATAAACTCATGTGGTTTCATATTTTACTTTGTTTATACATTCATTGGAGAAGTTTACATACATTAGAGAAGTTTACATACGTTGAAGTTTGCATGTTTTTCTAAAGTCTCAGTCTATCAAGTCCCTTCGTTAGTCGACCTGGAAAAGTAGTTGATAGGTCGAGCGAAGAACATATACTTAAAATCCAAGACTGTAATGACCCTGATGGTCGTTTCATGAGTTACCGGTACATTTCCCCCATTTCTGCTTCTTTATGTGTTGTTCAGTTGTATTATGTAGGCCTGGGGGTCGGGTTTCGCCAACTTTGGGATTTTTTATGTAATTTGATTATTTTCGCTTAGGCTTTGTTCCTTTAGCGCGTATTAATGGTATGAATCTGGTTTTGGTTAGATTTAGAGCATTTGGAGGCCGATTCGAGAGGCAAGGGCATTGCAGGCTAGAGTTTGGACCGGATTGAGGTAAGTAAAGATTGTAAATGTTGTCGTGAGGGCATGAAACTCCGAATTTCACTTTGTGGTGCTACTTTGAGGTGACGCACACGCTAGATGGCGAGCGTGGGGTCATGCACCATTGGGGATTGTGACTTGGTCCGTCCCGTACGACTGTTAAGTCGCGTATTTGATGGAAAAATTGTATGATATCATTGTGTTTTGTAAAGTATTTCCATGTTTTGGGCTGAATGCCATATCTGGGTCTTGTGCCAACTGTTTTGGACCCTTAGGGGCTTTTTACTACTATTCCTCACTCTTTTGATTTAATATTTGTACTTAGTCATGTTGTATTCTACTATTTTCATAAATCAGCTGTATTTACTTTATTTTGATATTTTAAATGATATTTTGGGCTAAGCATCATGTTTTACTATTGCCCGAGCGGCTTGAGAGGTTTCTGACTAAGTGAGGTCGAGGGCCTATGTTGTGGGGATATTATGGGACCGGGTTGCACGCCATAATATGTTGTACTAATTTGTGATATATGAGAGGCCGAGGGCCTGATTTGTTATGCCACGAGATGGCTTGTGATAGCGCTTGGGATGTAGGAGCCCCTCCGGAGTTTGAACACGTGAGCGCGGGTACCCAGTGCGAGTGATGGGATGTAGCTCGAGGGGCTATTGTTGATTCATATTGTTGCCCAAGAGGCTGTTATTATTTCATGGTATTGCCCGCGGGGCTGATTACGAGTGATTGTCAGGTAGCCCGATGGGCTGGTTCTGTTGATATTTTTCCCGAGGGGCAGTTGTGGTACATGTTTTGCCCGAGGGGCTATTTACGTTTCCATCCTTTTACTTACTATTTTCATCACTCATTTGAAACTTTTGAAAGATATTTTTAAAAAGGTTTTACTGAACTGAGTTGTTTTTTTGAGTTTATTGATTTACTGTATTGTTCTGGACATATACTGTTTTTGCTGTAGTGCTATGACGTGAAATTACATATTTTCTTACTGCTCAGCTGCTTTTACTTTTATTACTTACTGAGCTGGCATACTCACATTGCTCCTTGCACCTTGTGTGCAGATCCAGGAGTCTCGAGACACGATAGTGAATGCTTATCAATCTTCCAGCAGGTCTCCAGAGTTGACTAGGTAGCTATTTGGCGTTCGCAGCCCTGTGCTTCTCCTTCCTATCTTATTCAGATTGTCTTAGTATTTTATTTCTGGACTATGTTGACCTTTCTTGTTCCTAGACGAGTTTGTAGTTGCTCATGACTGGTGACACCCCCGATGTCGAGCTTGTGTTATATTTCCGCACTGCTTATTTAAACTTATATTATGGGATTTTAGTTAATTAATCGCTTTAAATGACTTCTTATGAAATTTCTGGTTGGTTTTGGGTTTGTGTCAGCTGGCCTACTTTCACTATAGGCACTATCATGATCGGGTCAATTTTAGGGTCTTGACAAGTTGGTATCAAAGCCTAGATTACATAAGCCTCACGAGTCAAGAGTTGGTTTAGTAGAGTCTCGCGGATTGGTACGGAGACATCTATACTTATCCTCGGAAGGCTGCAGAACCTTTAGGAAAAAAACTTCATATTCTTGAATTCCTGTCATGCGAACCTGTTGATTCTAGTACTAAACTTCTGTTATTCTATTCTCTCACAGATGGTGAGGACATGTGCTACCAGTCAGGATGGACGACCACCAGTACCACGAGCTGGGGCCATTGGAGACCGAGGATGCGGTCGAGACCGTGGTAGGGGCAGGGGTTTAGCCCACACAATAGCTAAGGTGCACCTGCAGATCCACCAGCCGCACCGGTTCATGATCAGATCCCAATTGTGGATGCTCCTACAGCACCAGCTCAGGCACCGGCTATGCCTATTGTGATCCCAGACCTTCTGGAGGCCCTGGAAAAGATTCTATCAGTGTGCACTGGCCTAGCTCAGGCGGTCTCAGTTATTACAACCGCAGCTACTTCTCAGGCAGGGGGAGAAACTCAGACTCCCGCCGCTCGCACACCTGAGCAGGTCGTGTAGGAAATTCAGACACCGGGGGCACCTCCAGCCCAGCCGGTTATAGCTGCTCAGGAATGTATAGCTCATATTATGCCAGAGAACGAGCAGCGCAGATTGGAGAGGTTTGGTAGACTTCAGCCTACGTCTTTTAGAGGTTCAGAGGGAAAGGATGCCCAGGGTTTCTTGGATAAATGTTAGAGGATGCTTCAGATCGCAGATATTCTGGAGACCAGTAGGGTGTCATTAACTACTTTCCAGTTCTCCGAGGCTGCACTTAGTTGGTAGGAGGCTTACGAGAGGCGTAGGCTGGTTGGCGCAGCACCCCTTGCTTGGCAGCAGTTCTCCGTTCTCTTTTTGGAGAAGTTTGTACCTGAGCCTCACCGAGAGGAGCTGCGCAGGCAGTTCGAGAAGCTTTGTTAGGGCGACAGATCTGTGATACAGTATGAGATGCGGTTCTCTAAGTTAGATCGTCATGCAGTTCGGTTGGTTCCCATAGATTGAGAGAGGATCAGGAGGTTTATAGATGGCCTCAGCTTTCAGCTTCGGTTGCTTATGACTAGAGAGAGAGTATCTGGTGCTACCTTTGATGAGGTTGTTGACATAGCTCGACAGATTGAGATGGTTCGTGGTTAGGAGACGATTGAAAGGGAGGCTAAGAGGCCTCATGGTCAGGGTGGATTCAGTTGTACTCCTCATGGGGGTTAGTTTCAGCATGGAAGAGGTCCTCCATTCAGGCATGCTCAGTCAGCTTGCCCAGGTTATCGTGGGGAATCATCAGGCCATGGTTCTCACAGTTCTCATCAGGTCTATTCATCACTTAGTGCCCTTTTAGCCCAGAGTTCATCCCATGCTCCATCAGTTCAGGGCTCTTTTATGCCAGGTTCTTTTGCTAGTCATCCCGGTGCTAGGGGTTCCCTTCAGTCCCCGTCTCCAACACCAAGGTGTTGTTATGAGTACGGAGAGTTGGAGCACATGTGGAGGCAGTGTCCTCGTCGTCTTGGGGGTTCATCTCAGTAGAGGAGTCAGCCATCGACTTCAACACCAGTTACTTCACCAGCCACCCACCCAGCTAGGGTGGAGGACAGTCAGCTAGAGGTCACCACAGAGGGGGAGGTCGATCAGGTAGTGGTCAGGCCTATTTCTATGCACTCCCAGCTAGACCCGATGTTATTGCTTCAGATGTTGTGATTACAGGTATTATCTCAGTCTGCCACAGAGATGCCTATGTGTTATTTGATCTTGGTTCCACTTTTTCATATGTGTCATCATATTTTGCTCGTTATTTGGATATGTCCCGTGAGTCTCTTGTTTTATCTGTTCGTGTATCTACCCCGGTGGGCGATACTATTATTGTAGACCGTGTATATTGGTCGTGTGTGGTGACTATTGGGTTTTGGAGACCCGAGTGGACCTTCTGTTGCTTTGTATAGTTGACTTTGATGTGATATTGGGCATGGAATGGTTATCTCTGTGTCATGATATTTTGTACTATCATGCTAAGACAGTGACGTTGGCTATGCCGGGTGTGCCATGGAAGGTTCGACTGATTTTGTTCCCAGTAGGGTGACTTCATTTCTGAAGGCCCAGCAGATGGTTGGGAAAGGTTATCTTTCATACTTAGCTTTTGTGAGGGATGTCAGTGCAGAGACTCTTACCATTGATTCAGTCCCGGTAGTGAGGGACTTCCCAGATGTGTTTCCTGCAGATCTATCGGGCATGCCACTGGACAGGGATATTAACTTTGGTATTGATCTGGTGCCGGGCACTCAGCCCATTTCCATTTCACCATATTGAATAGCCCTAGCGGAGTTGAAAAAGTTGAAGAAGCAACTTCAGGAACTCCTTGAGAAGGGGTTTTTTCAGCCTAGTATGTCGCCTTGGGGTGCACCTATTCTATTTGTAAAGAAGAAAGATGGCACGATGAGTATGTGCATTGATTACAGGTAGTTGAACAAAGTTACAATCAAGAATAAGTATCCTTTGCCTCGTATCGATGATTTATGTGACCAGCTTCAAGGAGCGAGAGTGTTCTCCAAGATTGATCTCCGTTCAGGATATCACCAGTTGAAGATCAGGGGCTCGGATATTCTTAAGACAGCTTTTAGGACCCGATATGATCATTATGAGTTCCTGGTGATGTCTTTTGGGCTGACCAATGCCCCGGCAACGTTCATGCATTTGATGAACAGCGTGTTTCGGCCTTATCTTGACTTGTTAGTTATTGTATTTGTTGGTACCCAATTTTTCCATGTATATTTTTTAATATGCAAAATACTTTCAAAATAGCATATGTATGCATATATAAGTATGTCCAATTATTTTTTTTAATTTTTTAAAGATTTTTAAACCAATTTATTCACCTATTTTATTCATAAAACCCCAATAATATTTCCAAAATTATTATTTTGGTAATTCATTTATTGGATTCTCATATTTGTGCTAAAATATAGCTAAAATGATTTTTGTACATTTTTACAAATTTATTTAGTATTTTTAAAGCCAAATTGCATATAATTGCACTATTAGCCTCTTTTAAATTTTATTGCGTTTATATCTATAAAAACTAAGTCCGGTATTTTTAATTTGATAATTATATGTTACAAATCGTTTTAGTACTTTTAATTTATTTTCAGAATTTAATTTTTGATTTTTTATAATATAAATGGAAAAAATTGGCTATTTAAAAACTAGCCTAATTATATTTCAATTATAGCCTAATTTGAACCCCAATTGGAATCCAATTCCCTTCAAATCCGACCCTTTACCCGTTTAAATGACCCACCCGGACTCCCACCTAATCCCAGTCGTTGATCGTGTAGATCAACGGCTCCCATTACTCCCTTCCTTTTTAACCCAAACGAGCCCTTCACCCTAATCCATTTCTCATAATACGCCGCCTCTAAATCCCCCTCCTCTCTCAAATCTTCTCTACAACAACATCAAACCCTAGCTGCCACCTTAATCTACCCTAATCCAGGCCTCTCCAGGATCATCTAAAACCTATATCAGCCTCTCATGACTTCTACGTGTTCGTTTCGGTGGTCTCATTACTAGATTCTGAAGGGGCTTGGTCCAGTCTTTGCTCGATGACTATTCTCCGGTCGTCTCTGATCTTTCTCCGGCCAGCAATGTCCATTCGAGTCAGACCTTTGACTCTCCTGTTTAGATCGATGTCTTTCAAGGCCTTTCTCGTCACTTGGGGTTCTATTGAAACCCTAATCTCTAAGAGCTTCTCGATTTCCTTTAGGTTCACTTTAGATCTATGATTGCTATGAGTTTTTAAACGCCTTCTTAAAGCTTTTTTAATTTTGCTTTCAGAAAAAAAGACTCTTCATCTTTTTCCGATTAGGGTTTTCCTTCAAGTTCTTCTTTTCAAAATCTTTTTTGAGTTTAGCATGATAAAACCCTAATTTCTTTTGGGGTTTCTGAGACTATTTGTTAAGTGTTTGTTTGATTTACTTTTTTATCATCTCTAGACTCGATGGGTGATAAAAACCCTAATTTCTTTGGGTTCGTTCGAGTTTCTGAGACTATTTGCTAAATATTGTCTGATTTATTTTTTCATCATCTTTAAACTAGATCGATGTTGAAATCCTAATTTCTTTTGGGGTCTATTCGAGTTTCTGAAACCGCTTGTGCCATTTATTTGTTTATCATCTTCTAAGCTTGAATGTTATTAAGGAAAAACCTATGTCTTTGGGTTTGAAATTGCTCGTTGGAATACCTGACTTGATTTGAAGTTCCTTTATTTCAGCATCTCTTTTCTTTATGTGATTCCTTTGATTCGGGGTTCTTACTATCTTTGAAACTCGACTATGCTTTTCAGAAGGGTTTTCGCACTTGACCCTTTGCATGCTTCTGATAATCTATCCTTTTTTTTCTTTTCTCTATACTACTTATTCAATGAAACTTGACCTACGTGACTATCATGTTTCGAATGTTTGCTGTCTACTAACTTTGTGCAACTATTGCATGCTATATCTTTTGCCAATAGTTTGGCCTCGCATGTCCATCGTTTGTGCACTCATTTATATGCAGAGGCCCCTTCTTTGATTGATTCTCAATTTTGGGACTGATTTCAAAACTCCTCTTTTTACGAACTCTAATTTTACTCGCCTGTTAAAGTGATTGATCCCTTTCCTTACTTATTGCCTTGCTGAATCTTTTCCCCCAAAACAAGTGTATCTTTGTACTTGGACTCTATTGGGTACTCAATGTTTTACTACTTCCTTTTATGGTAATAATCAGTCGGCCTGCAAACTGATTTTCTTTCCTACTTTTAAACATGTTAGCCTCGTTAAAAAAGTGATTCCTCAATAAAAGGGGAATCACTTGGTTGATTGATTCTGATTGCTGATTACTTCCATATGTGCATATTGCCTTATTTCTTACATGCTTTCAAAACTATAAATACCCACCTTCTTTTCTTTCAAACACACGAACACAAGGCATGAACACTTGAGTTCAAACACACACTCCACTAAAATCTCTCTCTTTTCTCTGTTGCTACTTGTACTGCTGCCTTACCAAGCTGGCTGAAAGCCAAGGCTAGGCTGTGGGAAGCTTGCTTATTTTTTGTTGCATTTGCGTCTTACTAGAATGTTCTAATTAAGCTTCTACACCAACAACAACATTTTTCTTTACTGTCTCTTCCATCCTTGTTTGTCTCATGTATGTATTTAACCAAGTTCTATTATTAAATGTGTTGTAATCTGCCCCTTCCTGTTTAAGTTAATGCTTCTATCCATTACTTATTATGACTTGTGAATCCTAAATCCC